CTCGGCATGGCGGGGTCAGATCAGGCGCAATTCCCACACTGTGTTCCTGGTGTTGTCCCCCGCAGGGCCATGGGCCAGTGAGGAGTGCACCACTTCTTAAGAACAATCTTGTTCCAACAGGTGCCAGTTTGGGCTGCGATTAGCTTCTTAAGATCCCCGATGGTGTCATCAGTGTTGTAATTGACTCAGATCTTCTTGCTCAGGTGGTTATTGTAAACCACCTCAATTATTCTGAATCTCCTCAAAGTTACCAATGCCACAACCTTCCTGGCTAGAACACTAAGCCCTGATGCCAGATTTTCATCATTAAAAAACAAACAAACACTTAACGTTGACTCAATTATAACTGGCAGCAATCCTGCAGGACAGGGTAGATCTGCCTCTGGGTTTCCAAGGCTGTCTTTCTGTGAGCAGCAGATCTTTCTGCCGGAGTCATGGAGTAACTGGCAGATTTGAACGGCTGACCCTGCAATTAGCAGCCCAACATGTAACAATTATCATCACAGTTGAGTATAAAGAAAGACTAACCCAACTAAAAGATAGAGGTATTTTTTTCCTATGTTGCAGCGTGATCTAGAAAAAGATGTCTGATTCCTGTGATTTTGAAAGATTGGCAACTATAAATTAAAGTATAGAGATGTCAGAGTGGAGGAAATCATGTTCTAAGTGAAGCACCTTCAGCAGCATTTATTGAAATACTGGAAAGCACTAATAATACAGAGTGCAGGCATCAAGTTCAGCCAGCGGCCTTACCTGCTTCATTTCCTCTGGACGGGTTTACATTCCCACATCTGGCCCCCCTGCTGACTCCATCAAGATCCTGCACACAGGTGGATGCCAAACATACTTCAAAGGAATAGGTCACCAGGCAAGTCAAATAGGCTGTGGCATTTCAATGCCATTTCAGCTGACTTAAACCGCAATTGTCGTGGAATCTATATCAAAGCATTTACTCTCGCTGGCTTTGACCTCTTGGAGAGGGAGAACGCAGACATGGTGTCATCGAAAGCCACGTCAGGAGACGTGGGTTCTATTTCCTAATCTGCTGGCATAGTGATTAAGTGCTTTCAGCTGAATGGGTGCATATAGTGCATCTGAAAATCAAGGAGATTGGATTCAACAGAGATGCCCACCAAAACCCTCGCAGTCGCCCGACGTGGCCTGACCTTAGGATGACAAAGCACCTGATACAGAAGGTTTTGCTGTGATACAATCCGAATGCTGGCCCTCACTGGGGAGCCATCGGTACTCACCCAAGCCAATTTTCTCCAAGGAAGAATGGAAGCCCTGTATCGCCAGATTATTCAAGAAGATGATTATTCCGATTATTCAAGAGGATAGAGAAAATCAGATCTTATGAAAATATTCTGATTTTTGAAGGATGGAGACTGATTTAAAATAGAAAACAAACAAAATCATATGAAGGCCAAACTGCATCTATGCGTAGGCAGGCTTGGGCTCTTTTTGTGACCCTCATTGGAATCCCTCTGGAGTCAGTCTGTCCTTGCTCTGTGACGCTACTGGTGGGTGGAGGAGAAGGGTCAGCCTGGGACCACCAAGCACTAAGTCTCTGCCCAACTCTAATTAATCTTCTTGTCACTTGGTTTCATTAACGTGTGAATGCAGTAGGGTATCAAAGCAACCACCGCCAGGGGAATGGATGCACTTTTACAGAAAGAGAAGACACAAAACAAATGTTCTATGTGAGTGGGGATCTGGGTGGACTGGTAGAGCGGCAGGACGGTCAATGAGGTCATCACACTGAGGAGCCGGAAGCTCAGCTTACAGCCATTTCCCCCTCAGCAGCTCTTAAGGAACATCTCAGAGTGGATTGCAAAGCCCAAGCCAAAGAGGACCCCGAGGTTTCTCACGAGTCCCACAAAAGGGGTGGTGTCAATGTGGACCCAGTCAGGATTGGCACACCACTTTTTGGCTATGGGAACAGACCACAGGAGGTCAATGTCGAGCAGGCTGAGAAGCAGGTAAAAGCCAAGGGCGAACAGGAAGAGGAAGAGGTTGGTTTTCAGGTAGGTGGTCAGGCTGGCTGTTTGGATGGCTCGAGTGTGTTCGAAGGCCTCTGCCACCAGCATGCCTGGGATGAGAAAGAGACACGGAGGTGACCACATGCTCTTCAGACTTTGGAATCGCTCGTTTCTGCAGTTAGACTTTAACCATAGCTTTCAATGGTGACGTGCTTTAAACACCTAGGTTCTAAGGCTTTTCTTGAGGCAAAAATAAAACATATTTGCCCCCAAAGATCTCTTCGCCGCCCATCTTATCACAGGGGCCAGGCAGTAAATGTTCATGATGCTAATCGACAACTCCCTTTAGGGGCAGAGCACCTATCTAGGTGCTTGCGATTCGTTTTCCATTCACCGTGACTAATTAACTTAGAGAGCCTTTGAAAATCGAGAGGGGCTGAACAGTGGAAATTCAATCATGATGAAGGCTCCTTCAGGAATACAAAGCGGCTGCTTAATGAAGGCCATAGACATGTAATTGCTCCTTCAGATGTTTCAGAGAAAGTGGGATCCTGTGCAGGTTGGAGGGTCATGATGAAGTCCCGGAACCCAAGACACAAGCCTGCCGTCTGAAGTGGTGGTGTGGGAGTTGGGCTTAGCGCTAATTGCACTTCAGAGCAGACATGGCACCGAGAGGCATGGCATTGATACTGTCGAGGGAGACGATGCTATTGCGTCCACGGAGGATTGGAGAGGTGTGCTGAACCACTTAAGTTCCCTGGGCAGCGTTTGGTACCCGTGGCTTGACAGAATTACCGCTGAGGTTGGGAAAAAACCGACTGCCAGGAAAACTCTAACACTGCAAAACAAATGAGGCTAAAGCTGTCATCTGACATGATCAAAGGTATTTACCCCCGATTACGCCAAGAATAACTTGATGAGGAAAGTGCGTTGCTATGAACACTCTGGAGATGCAGACGCTGATTTGAATCACCCAGAATAGACTCCAAAGAAATGACCAGGTCAGTCTAAGATGGAAACTAGACACGGTGGAAGGCGTGAGGAGACTGCCATGCTCATGCAACTAGCGGGGGCCTTGACATCTTTCCCACAGGAACCTTATAGCTCTGGTATGGCATTGTGGTTCAAGGGTTGGTTTTTTAGTCTCCCTTCCCGCCCCCCAAAAATGCTGTTTCCATAGGATTTGAAAGGCTTTCAATATATTCACATTGTATTTCATTTATATATTTCCGAATGCATTCAACTTAATACATCCGGTGTCCTGAGATTTTAACAGTGGTATTCAAGGAAGCCAATTTGATATTCTGATCATTCTTGTAATGGAGCAGGAGAAAGGAAAGTTTGGCGAATCACTACTATCCAGAATGATCCAAAATGGACCATATGTACTTTTACCTCCCATCACATTTGCTTCCTCGGCACCCTCCTCTCTCTCCCTTTCTGTGCAAACAGATACTATGCTGATGAAACTGCACGAGCCTTCCACCAAGGGCCAGGCTTCCCTGGGTTTCATTTCACAGGTTCTCAGGAATACTGGGCGTCCACGTGTTGAGGTCATGTTGAGGTATAGGAAATACGGAGCAAGGAAACAGATCTAAAGATGATTTGCTTTGGCTTAAAAGCCAGCAAGACACAAAAATTCATACAAATATTAAACTCCAAGCAATGCACATCATAAAAAAAAGAATTAGCAATTCTCGAAGGACTCTGATGGGATTGTCAGGATCACATAATGATCAGCCCAAAGTTGGGTTATCAAGAGGCTAAGAAATACAGATAAGTGAGGAAGTACACAGGTGTTACCCATAGGGAAAAGTAAACAAAAACTGGGTCACACTGAGTAGGGACAGGCATTCAGGAACTTTGGATGAATGAAGGAAATATTGTAGTTATAGAACTCAAAAAGGAGTTATGAGTTCTTGATTTTAAGAAGGGACAAGTAATTTTTCAAGTTTGGTGCTGGGAAAAGGAGTGAGGCTTTTAAATTTGTACTTTGAAAAATGCAATTTTCTTCAAATTACAGCTTTCTACTGCTGTTTTGGATAACGAATACATTAAGGAATGCATGACAATGTCACATTAGAATACATTCTAAAATTATCAGATCTTTTGGTCATTTGTTTCATATATTATCCAAGATAACTCTAAAAAGTGAAATGTGTAGTGGATCTTGGAAATTTTTTATTTTATAGGACCTTTTACATAATGATGTACAAGTTAGACAATATTTTCTAAGAGATTTACTGACAAATTTTATATCAAGCGGCCAAATGATTGTCAGTAGTATTGAAAATGTTTTAATGCTATTTAAAAGAGTTCAATAAAGAAAAGAAGAAAACAGGCCAATTCTCAACCATTCCCCCTACAAAAAAGTGAGTAATTTAAAATTATATTTTCTGGACACCATGAGTTTAGAATCTACTGCCATTAAAATTTAAGTTAGCTTCTCGAATGTATTTAATTAAAAAGGTTGCATGGTCTTTAATAGTATCACAAGTGTTGGCTATTCAAAACAAGAAGCACACTTTTGTGAAATAAACTGATGCATTCAGGGGCGGGGTGATTCTCAACACTTCCAGTTCATCTGAAAGCAAGGGAATGAGCATGCAAAACAACCAAAAAGACTTCCGTACGCAACTTTAGATGACTTCTTGATGAATTACCCAAATTCTCGTTACAGTAGATGAACCCAAAGGCACCTTTAGCACGTTGTTAATCAAGGCAGCATTTCCAATCCCGCGGTGTGGCAATAGCGATGAGCTCATTAAGCCATTACCTTAAAGCAAATTATTAATTTTCTCTTCATCTTGCTTCTTTGGGGCTCAGAATAGAAGAATCTCATTTCAATAACTAAAAATACATGAAAATGAGGTGGGGAGGAGGGGAAGTTGGTCTGAATCCTAATTGGCCATTTCCCAACGCTACAGAGATGGGCGCGCCGCCGACCTGTGCAGGATGAGAGAGGACTTATCTGTCCTGCCGACAGCGTCGCTCAGAGCAGCCGTCACCATGACGTACCAGACGCACGAAGAGCCCATTGCGTGGCCCTACAGACTTCCTGCAACGACAAAGTGGCATCCATTTGACCAGTGAGTGATTCATGAAGTGTCGATCCCAGAGAGAGACAATAGACTAAACAGCCCATGAGCTGTGAAGGGGACAAATGCCTTAGAAAAACATGTTATGTGTACTTCTGTGAGAAATGATTAAAACGAGGTAGAAGTAAGGGAACTCGTCAAGCTGATCCTTGGTGAAAAAGAGACATTTTTTCCACTTTTAAAAGCTTCTTGACTTCTTAAAATTAGAGCATTCAATGCTAATTAAAAATCCAAGCTATTGCAGCCAAGCCTGCCACAAGAGCTGCCCTCTATCCCCACCCGCACTCTGCATTGAGCTGCTCTTGGCTGTAAAGAACAGGAGCGGACTTGCATGGGACCTTGAACAGGTTGGTTTGTTTGGGGCGAGCCTGGACTCACTACCACACTGATTTACAAGTGACAGTGGCTACCAAGTAGCTCTCTCTGTGCCTCCCTGTGGCCATCGCAGTGGGAAGCTTTGTTGTGCAATGGCGGCTGAGGAGACGCTGTACAGAGGGGACATGAATCCGCTACACATCTGTCAGCTTCTACTCTGAGGGTTGCAAAAGTGTTGCTGGGATGCTGGACAGGGAGCTTGTCTATTCCCAGAAAGGCTTCCCCACGTTGTTATTGCTGTCGTTTTTAATCACTTTACTTTGATCATCTCCGTGAGTTCTCATCAAGTACAGATTCATTCAGATTAAACACCAGTCTCTTTTTTAAAGGCCTAAGGAAAATTTGAGCGCTTTGTTTGTGCTTAAAAAAAGAAATGAAAACAAGCCCACTGACTAGGAGTCCATGCCAGCCCCCAGTGACCCTCGGTAGGGTTTCTGAGACTGTAAATAGTTGCAGGAAATATGTCTCCCTTGGCTCAGCTGGTGGGTCTGAACCACTGACCTTGCAGTTGGCAGCCCATTGTGCATCCCACAGGGCCCCTTTTATATGCTGAAGTGGGCTGTCAATCTTCAAAGGGTGAGTACAAAGGCAGCATTTTTGTTTGTTTTCCTTGCAGAAAATATCTCATAAGAAAGAATACATGCTGGGAAGTACTGGGCTAGACAGACAGCATTTCTACAAAGGTTACGTGTGTGTGTGTGTAAACATACACACACACATCAATTTCAAATAAAATTTATATGGTGCCCAGCATGGTGAAACTCACAGTCTGTTGGGGGAAGCTAGCTATATAAAGAAATAGAGTACAGTATGATGAATGACATAATCAATGCATGTATACTTTCTTGGGAACAAAAAGAAAGAGGGTAAAAAAAAGTCACTGGAACTTTTTACACATCCACTATATTCAGAGTGAGTTTCAAAGAACGTCAAGCGAGAAGAACGTTACACCATATCGCAAACTGCAGTGAGGTACAATGCGGCCCAATCTTCTAAATTAAAACAGCCATATGCAGTCTCCCTTTATTTATTGTTCACCAAACCCCAACCTTTTTCCTGTCTGACACTCACATCACACAGTGAAGATTTCATACTCTAACAGAGTCTTAGTAAAACAACAACAAGGCCAGTGCTCAAGACGTCTAAACACGTCAAGCAATAACAGCAACCCAAAAGCCAATTGTAGAGACTCTTTGGAGGCTAGGGACCATTCCCACTGACATGAACCACATCGGCAGGCCTCACCTGTCGTACGGAAAGCTTGCTTATGTTGTCCTCGTTCACGAGATTCTCAGAAGACCTGCAGTGAGGCTGAAAGTGGCCCGGCAGCAGGCACACGAGCATTTCGTTGCTATTGCGAATTCATGTCCGCTGGCTCTTTGTTTTGAAATAGCTAAGCATGGCATTCGTCCATGAAGTAAAGGAAGCTTGGTTATTCGTACAATTTCTCTCACTCCTCATTAGGAGTTTTGAGAGTTGTAAGTCGTTAACATCCCCGTCATAGATATTTCCTTGAACGCCTTACATGCAATCCACATCAGTGCCCAGATGAGAATTATACGTGCTTGCTGCATGTGGAATACCTTCAGTAACTGGCTGTGATCTCTTACCTGGGCCTGTTTCACATGTGGCGCGGAACTGCTCAAGACAGAGACTTGAGTGATTTGGGTAAATCTGAGTTTCGTGGACCCACCAGTAAGGCCGATGACCGAATAAGATCCTGGATGTGAAGAAACATAAGTGCACATAGATTTACATCCACAGCTGGTCATTAGGGTAGCTCTTCTCAAGCAGAGATTCCAGGGCAAACGTCATGACGAGGAGTGTGAAAGAACTTGCATTCTTGTCCCTGCCTCTCCAGGAGAGGAAGGGACAGTCATTCGGAGTTTGGGCTCCAGGTTTTCCATAAGAGCAAGGACTTTTTCCTTGATTTTTTCCTTGTGGGCATTTTAGGTCCTTAGACTGGGATATCAAATTGGTTCGTGAAATCATAAATTCAGCATTACAGGTTTGCTCCTTTGACTATTAAGTTTTTGGTTGATCCTATAACATGTGCTACAGGGTTTGGGAGTTTAATGATCCATCAGATAAAGCATATATTTCTATGTTTCATGGAGCCTCTATTTATGACTCAGATATTGCAAGTAACTCATATGTTCAGAGAATTTTCCAGGGAAACCACACACACCTGAAATATATCTGATCAAGAAGGTAGAGCTACAGGTTTAAAGATGCTACGTTTTAGGGAAAATGAAAGAAAACAGAAGTCTTACCATTTAAATATAAGATTGAACCAGTCCCCAATGACGGCGACCCATATCATCTTAGTTCCAACGGTCTGATTAAGCTGAAACCAGAGTGGAAAATAAATAGAAAATATATTCCGGGGGTCTCCAGCATTGGACATAAAGTTTAGAAAATCGTAGTAAGCCCGGTAATCCTTCTGCAAATGCTGAATAAGAAGAACACCATTCCTGTGAAGGAAATCCATCTGCACAAAGAGACCGTCCTCAACACGGAGCAATTGGAGCTGAGTGCTTTGAGTCCCACTATCTTTATATGGCACTTCAGTGGCGTGTCCAGCCATTACTACGACATGTGATGCTGGCCATCTGTGGAGAAGGCATGTCAGCCCCCCTTGCTGAGAAGCTCATCTATTTATGGTTTTAATTGGTGGCCAAGAGGGGAAGCACATGCGGATCCATGGCAGGTCGAGGGGAAATTTGGGCAGAGACACAATGGATGTCTTATGCAACCTCCCTTTGTGTGAGCAGTTGGATGGTGTTTGCTTGCAATGTGTTGCACAGTTCATTTACTTCAAGGGCAGGTGTTGGTCATTTCCATGCCTGGCTGGCAGATGGTACAAACAATTGCTGCAGGTCAAATAGCCCTTCAAGCCATGCATTTTAATTTTAAAATAGACGGTTGCTCTCCGGCTGCCTTATTGGGCCCTTCGAGGGAAATGGCTGACTAAGTGTCTGGACATGGAATATTTATATGGTGCGACAGATTATTTTCTGATCACAGACTTTTAAATAAAAATATGTGGACCCTTTGCCTTCGTCTCAAAGATCCAGATGGAGCAGGGAAGGAACACATGTCATATAGGAGATCGGAGCAGGCCGCGTGTTGCTTTCTGACAGCGAGGAAAGAGTGCAGAGATGGAGGTCACGCCAGTCACAGAGAGGCATTAGGACTGAATCGTAGCTTTACTGACCAGAGGAGACGATGGAAAGCACTGGGGAGTTAGTTGTTCATGTGACAAAAAGGTAAAACTGGACTTCAAAAGCCTTTTGACCACACAGGGGGTGGGGGTGGGGTGAAGGGAGAGGGACTGGTTTGCTGAATGCAGAGTGTCCCTTGACATAAGTAGGGAGCACCCAAGCAGCACGCAGAGTGGGGGGCACAGAGGGCTGCACAAAGAGAAGGATGGATCAGGCGGATCGAGGTCCAGTGGGGAGCTCAATTGTGGCCACGTGGATTAGTGTGAAGGCAATGAAGCTTTACTTCATGGGTAGCTAAGGGTGGAGCGAGGTACCCTTCGATGTTCTAGGCCATTCAGATGGACTCAGTTGCCTTTGTAAGCACAGCCTCCTTCCCTGGGAGCCTTCTCTGCGGGCGTAGGCCTCCAATGGCTACTGGTCTGGAGGGCCTATCTTGGCTGTTTCTTCAGATATGTTGGCTTGCCTTTTACAAAGGTGTAATGAGCCCTGGTGCTGTAGTGCTGCCACACTGGACTGCTAACCCTTGTGGTTAGCAGTTCTAAACTACTAGCTGCTCCTTGTGAGAAAGAAGAGGCTTTCTACTCCCATAGAGAGGCTCGGAAACCTACAGGGGCAGTCCTACCCTGTCCGATTGGGTCGCTAGGAGTCGGAGTCAACTTGGTGGTTTGGTTTTAGGTTTTAAAGATGTTATACCCTTGTCCCTCTCCAGCCCAAGTGAATTGTTGGTGGCGGAACCCAGGCACTGGCCGATGGGAAATGTGTCTAAGTACTTCTCATGCGCAGTGGGGGTTGAGCATGGATGTGCTGCACAAAGAGAGGACAAGGCTTCTGAACGAGTCAATTTGGACAAAAGGTCTTGTTGTGGATAGTTTGTGCAACAGGATGAGAGTCAGCCTGGTCCAGCCCCACCCCACCATGTGCACAGAGTGTTCGTTGTCTGGTTTTGGCAAGTTGGTTGCCCGGCCTTTCTTCCTAGTCTGCAGCAACTGGAAACTCTGGTGTGATGGCTGCATGTGAGGTGCTCTGACCAGGAGTCAAACCCAGGTCTCCACAGGGAAGGCCAGAATGCTACCACGGAGCCAACCACCAACTGTCACCTGGACAAAGCTTAAAACGACTATGAACGCATCCGTGATCGACTGGACTTGGATTTTCCTATTGATTTGGATCCGTGTGCTGACTTCTCAGTGGGCTCACTGATTTATCATGTTGTCAAGGCTTCAGAGAATCTTTCTTCGATCATTACAAAGAACACTCATCTAATGAGAAACCTGGTTACCGGCGACAGTCGGTATATGAACTTGGTATTGTGGCCCGGAAGAGGTGAGACAGAGTGACGGTTGAAAGGCACCTGTCCTAAAACGAGGCAGATGGTGGCCATTTTCCTCGCCGAGTGTTCCACGGGACTCCCTGGAAGGACGGGACATGAAGCTGCAGCCTGGTGTCTGCGGGCTGGAATCCCAGGCGGACACACACAAAGAAAAACCGAAGGAAGGGCGGCACAGAGAGAACCGGAGTGGCAACATCCTATCCTTTTCCAGAAAGTGACTTAAACTGGCTGCCAGGAAATGGATATTAATCTTCTGTGGGCTTGAGAACCTTAGTGGCCTCCTTTATCATTCTTATCATTTCTCTTGGGAGAGAGCCCAGCGAATTTTGCTCTTCTCCTAGACAGCCCCATTAATTACATCCCCTCTCAGTCTTCCCGCTAGTGTGCTGATCTGATCCAAATAACGCATGTGTTGACGTCCAATTAATTTAGCTGAAAACTCATTTGTGCTTTAGGATGTCTTGCATTTATGCCTATTCCTCAACACCCTCGTCCTCCACTTTTTTTTCAAACCTTTGAAAGCACTCTTGTTACCTAGGGTTAACTCTACTCACTCGAAAAATTCACTGCCATTGAGTAGATGCTGACTGCTGCTGTTTCTGAGACTGTAAGTCTTTACAGAGAAAGAAAGCCCCGCCTTTCTCCCTCGGAGGGAATGGCTGGTGATTTCGAACTGTTGACCTTGCACTTAGCATCCCCGTATGGCACAAGGGCTCACCAAAAATCCTAGTTTTAGCCTGCCCAGGTAACTTGATCAGTGCCAGAGTCCTGTTGAGAGTACACATTTCATTTCTGGGCCTGAGTCAAGGCCCTAACCGGTAACATTGAAACCCATTGCAAAGGGGATTAAAAACGGATGCTTTCAACCACCAGATCTCCAATTCACCTTTATTATACCATCCTCACTACGCAGCTTTCCTGCTGATCCCTGACCCTGACATAGATCTGTCACCATGCCAGATCATAGGAGGACTTCACAGGTACAACCACTCCTTAGACGATTGGATGACTTGTCTCATTATTTGACAAGGATAGACCTGTGGAGAGGATCCGCTGGCTACTGCCACTCCCTCCACCAGGAGGAAATGCCAAGTGACATGAAGGTGGAAAGAGCAAACCTCGAAGGTGGCTCTGATTACTACTCTTTATGGCTAGCTCTGGCTCCCAGCAGGCATTTTCTTCTCTGGAAACAGTCAAGTGTGGAATTAGACAACTCCAACCCAACCCAAAACACTGCCATCAAGTTGACTCAGACTCATAAAAGCCCTGTATAGGGTTTCAGAGGCTGTGAGTCTTTATGAGAGCAGACAGCCTCATCCTTCTCCTATGGGGTGGCTGGTGGGTTTGAACCACTGACCCTTCGGTTAGCATACCAAACCAGTGCCATCAAGTCAATTCTGACTCATAATGACCTCATATAAGAGAGAGTAGAGTGCTCCTTAGGGTTTCTGAGACTATAAATCTTTCAGGAGCAAACAGCCTTACCTTTTTCATGTGGAGGGGCTGGTGGATTTGAACCACTAGCCTTGTAGCCCAATGTTTACCCCATAGCACCACCCAAGGCTCCTTGTGAGAACCCCAAAGCCCCAAGCCATGCCCACTGCCACGGAATCAATTCTGACTCAAAGTGACCCTACAGGACAGACTAGAACTGCCCCTTTGGGTTTCTGAGATGGTAAATGTTTATAGGTGCAGAAAGCCTCACCTTTCTCCCTCAGAGTGGCCCTTATATTCAAACTTCTGACCTTGCCATTAATAGCCCAACAAGTGGCCCATTGCATTACCAGGGCTCCCATTCATTCAGAGCTCAGTTGAACAAAGGAGTCAGCCACTATCCCTGGTGTTTGGCAGAGACTCAGAGTTAAGCAGGGGAATGGGAAAGCTTTTTAGTGAAAGAAAGAAAAGTCTTCAAATATATTCTGTTGGACATTTTGTGCAGGGGAAGGTGGAGATGGCTTATTAGAAGAGGGGCCTGAGGGCTTGGCCCCCATACCAGCTACATGGACAACTGCCCCTCCCCCCAGAAGAATTTACTTTAGAGGACAGCACTGA